TTTTACAGTAAATGAGAAGGCAAAACACTAAAACAGTAAAAAAAAAAAAAAAGATGAAAAGTCATAAAACACATTTGTCATTGTGTTGCTGCACCACCATTTCACACCATCTCTTCACTCTGATAACAAACTAAGGTCTGTGTTGAAACATTTTAATCTAAAGCCAATTAAAGCCAATTTTGTTTTTGGTGTTTTTTTTTTTTTTTTTCGTGGGGAAATTTTTTATTTGATGGGTAGAAGAGGCATCATGTGTCGTCACTGAACACCTGCTGGACCTTAAAAATCACTACAGGCAACCTGGTTGACAGACTCTAGTGACGCTAATTTGATGACCAATACAGTTATATAATTTAGGTAATAGTGTTTTATATTGTATTAAATCATATCTTCAATTATATTTAAAATATATTTGATATTTTTAGATACACTATAAACAGCACGAAAATCTAAGTGAACGTGTTGTGAATGAGGATGCTTGTGGACTAGGATTTTTTATTACACATTTTTATTTATGAAAAAAGCTTTCCAGCTTTTTGAAACTGAGTCTGTTACGCTTTTTTGAGTGAACTTTTTAGCAATACATGCACCAAAATGGGGTTTAATTCTATGAGGACTCACAAACAGGCTCTCCATAGAAAACTACAAAACAAAACTTGTGGAGCTCAGATACAAACAACACTGGAGCCAACCAACCAAACGAGAATACAAAAACAAACTGAATAACTCACAATGCTCAACACCTGTGCAGAGAAACTGAGCTCAGGTGCAGGTGGGTGTGGCAGAACACATACAGCAGAGTAGCAAAAACAAAGAACAGACATAAAAACTCAACTAAAACTAGAAATCTACATTTATAAACCAACAAAATGGCACAATCCTAACCTGTGAGTAGAGTTCTGAAAACATGAAACAACTGAGATCAACTGCAGTGTCCTAACATCAGTGTGAAATGCAGACAGCAACTTATAACCACAAAAAATAAGTTTATTTTCACATGTAGCCTTCTTGTGTAATCTGTGGGTTTTATTTGAATTTTTTCCAGTTTTGATCAAAACTCTTCTGCTGCTGAAAGAACAGTTCCTTTTTAGGAAGAGTGTTAACGTCTTTAACATGCAGTTTGTCACAGAGAAAGGTTGAAAAGTTCACTGAAAAATTCTGTTCTTTAATACTCAAAGTTTTATTCCAAAACACATAAACCATTTATTCTATTTATTGTCTCATAATTATAGAAAATCCATCCATCCATTGTCTTTACTCACTTCTTCCTTTCAGGGTCACTGGTGTCCATGTCCAGCAGTCTGTGTGAGGGGCGGGGTCTCCAGTCCATCAGGAACAC